AATCATGGGAATGAAAAAATGCGCATTTTTAACCTTCAATGAAATGCAACACTCACTCGTAATATTTTATGATTTTTCATAGAATAATTTTTTTTGAAAGAATATTCCTTCTCCAGTTCTATTATTTTTATTCATACCATCCCAATCATAAAAAGAAATAAATTTGGTGTGACAGTGATATTGACATTGATAGAGATGTTATAAGTGTGCATAATAATTATATGTCTTACTCACAAACTTTCTTATTGCTTTCTAAAGCTGCCTTCTTGTAAAAAAAAAAGTCTAGTTTAAAAAAGTTTTGTGCTAAAAAGGCGCTTTATAAATCAATAAAAAGCCGTCCCAAATGAAGCCTAAATCTTGCATTTGCCTAAGGTTTCATATGGAACGGCATTTTTACTACTTCATAAAGCAGTTTTTTAGTATAAAAATTAAATTTTTGTACAAAAAAGTCATCCCAAAAGAAGCCTAAATTTAGCAGTAATAGATTTTACTGTTCAACAAAAGAGAGAAAGAGAAAGGAAGAACATCCATGTATTCTCTCTCTCTATTTTTTTCTTTAGGGCATCTCCAACCGAAAATCTCAATTTTCACTCCAAAATGTAGTGAAACAAAAAAATGCCGTGTTTCATCTCCAATCGAACGCCATTTTGCCGCTTAACCGTCGCTTTTCTTTCGCGCCTTTCTTCCGAACCTGTTCGGTAGAGATAAAAAAGTGGCGCAGATGAACAGTGCAACGCCAATATTGACGTCGCACTATTCATTCGCGATCAAATGACGGCAAAAATGACGATCGGTTAGAGCAAAGTAAGAACGGCAAACAAGTATTTGTCGTTCCATTGGAGTTGCCCTTATCTGATAGTGTTACGGCTAAAATCTGAGCTAGCTATTAAGATTCTCAAATCCTTTTTCAATCAGTGCTTGAGCGCCTTTTTCATCTCTTTTTGTTACTGCCTAAATAATATTTTTTTTTCACATGGGGACAAATAAAATATGGCCCTTCTGCCATATCTAACGTTGTTATCCTTTTACCCTTTTTATAGATGTGAATCTTTCTTTTGAAATATTTGAATTTTGAGCAAAATAGGCAGACCACCCAATTGAAAGTAGTAGACATTTACCCATTAATTCAACCATTGGCTTTTTGCAGTTGCGTGGGATGTGGTCCAATGCTCCTTTATCAGTGCTTTGCAATCCGTCAAGCCGGTTTCTTGATGTTTAGAGGATCATAGTCGAATGACAGTAGTTGGAGGATCATAATCGAGCTATAATGGTCGAATAATCGAACATGAGCAGCGGTGATAAAAAAACCGTAACAAGGCGATGGCAGTTGGGATATCATAGATAGACAACAGTAGCCGATGGATCATTATTTACAGACCCAACTATATTCCTTGGAGGACAATTATTTTATAGTCAAATTGTGCGTCTCAACAAGATAAATCGAACGAGCCTATGATCGCTAACTTTTAACGTCATTAAATTACATAAATGATGCAAGAACATTCTAAGATCAAGATAATTAATATGGGTCATCCGATGAATGTTTTGGATAATGACTATGTTTTCACTCTAAAAACCTATAAATAGGCATGTACTTTATATATGAAGCGGGACATAAGACAGCTTAAAGGTTTAAAGGATATTCCACCTAAGCATTGACTTTAAACCATTGCCTAACTATCATCATTAAGAAATTGCAAAAATGCCACTAATGTAACACTTCTTAACCATCATTATTGAACCACGTTGCTTAATGTCGTCGTCGGACTACAAGTAGACAATTATAGTTGGACCATTGTCGAATCACCCAACCACTGTTGTCAAACCACCATATTATCGTTGCTATAGGTTTATCATCGGATTAACACTGTCAAACCACGACATGACAATTACCATTGGACCATCGTTTTATAGGACTATTGGATTATTGTTTAACCACCACTGCCGAATCATTGGATCACCACCGCCATTGGACCATTGTGCAACCAACATTGTCGAAACATCACCTCATCATCGTCAGACAACCACCTGAATGCCTCCATTAAGCTACAACCCGACAATCATCATTGAACCACTAATCGATCATCATCACAAGAACAATGTCTGACTGTCGCCATCGTCAGATTACCAACATTGTCAAAACATCACCTCATCATCGTCAGACAACCACCCGAATGCCTCCATTAAGCTACCACCCGACAATCATCATTGAACCACTAATTGATCATCATCACAAGAACAATGCATGACCGTCATCATCTTAACATCACCGCCATCGTCAGATTACCGCTGTTGGAACACATTTCAACCTCATAATTGGACCGCTTCTTCACCACTATTGTCAAACCATTGCTAATTAAACAACACTATTCTAACCATCAACATTCAACCACCTCCTCACAACTATAATCTTTAGACATAAAATAGCAGAAGATGTTGAATATATAAAAATTTTACCATGGTTCTTTGATCGCCATCGGCCAACTATGACCCAACATTTAACATCTTTAGCCAATTTGATTGACAAAAAACTATCGCCGCCAACTAAATTCATTTTTTATAATTTGAATATATTTTCTAATCTCAACCAAAAAAAAAAAAAATGATCATAATTGTAACTTGAGACTCATAACCTCATATTAAAATCCATATGGAAAATTCACTAAGAAATATTGGTATTTATAATTTGCCAAAGGTGGGCGGGCGCTCTCCTTACTGCTACTTCGCCCTAAATTAAAATTTATAATACTCTTCTATTAAATATTTAAATTATTTAATTATACAATTTTATTTGATTGGTTGCCAATCATTAATAATCAGTTTAAAATATTTATATTAAAATAAATTAAATATTTTTAGAATTGATATATCATAAAAAAGCTATTTTGATTGGGCAAGAATCTCGAGGCAAATTCAAGTTGGAAACTTTCAAAATTAAAATTGAGACCATCCGAATTCCAATTTTAACAAACTTATAATCGAACTGAATGTATCATAATTATGAACCCAACGACACAAAATTTGACTCAATCCGAGTCCAAATGGGTCAAAATTGAAAACCCAATGCGTATTTGAAAAGTTCAAACCATAAATCAGATGGAAAAACGATCTCCAAACATGACAAGCTTATAGTTGAATCGAGCGGCTCAACAAGACGAATCCAACAAACCCAAGATCATCAAATTCTAACATCACTAAAGCATTCAAATGTCCAAAAAATGGTTCATGATCAAAGGAATCAACATCGACTGTGCATTCAAACCATTCCTAACTTACCCTTGATCTACCTCCTATTTACTGGCTATGCCACTCTAAAAAACTATAAATAAACCCATCATTCCTCATAGGAAGAGGGAAACAAAGCAAGGAAGCAATAAAGAAGAGAAACTCAAGTTCTCTTTCCATTAGCTCCTCCTCGATCATTGTTGAACTTCCGACCGGCCACCGAGTGTCGTCGTTCTTCCGCCTAGCCACCAACTGGCACCAGACTTCTGCCAGTTCACCGATTAATGCCGGACTTCCGCCCGTCCACCAACTGACGCCGAACTTCTGCCCAACCACCATGTAACGTCGGACTCCCACCCGATTTTCAATTCTTGTTAGTATTCCACCCAACAACGGCCTTTTCGACCTTCGTCATCCACCGACTACGGTCTTTCCAATCTTCATTGCCTAAATACGATCTTTCTGACCTCCGTCACCCGTCGACTACAGTCTTTCTGATGTTCGTCGCTTGACTACAATCTTTTAAAATATTGATGCCTGCCTACTACAATCTTTTTGACCTCCTTTGTCAGACAATTGTCATTTCGACCTTCGTCGCCAGACAATAATATTTATGACTTTCATCGCCCAACGACTACGGTCCTTCCGACCTCCGTCGTTAGATAACAATCTTTCTTATCAGTGTCGCCTGCCAACTACGATTCTTCCGACCTTCGTCGCCAAACAATGGTCTTTACGACCTCCGTCACTTGACAACGATCTTTCCGACCTCCGTTGCCAGCCAACTATGGTCTTGTCGACCAAACGAATAGTCGAACATATCAATTATGATTCTTTCAAATTCCACCATGTAATGCACTTTGTATAATGTATATTTGCTACATCAAACTAAGGCCTTTCCCCCAAGGAAGGGCCTCATTTATAATTGACTGCAAACACTAGTGGAGTCTCTTATGAATGCTAACCATCTCTTTTATATGTATGCGTGCTGGATCTTCGTATAAAGCTAAAAAACTAAACTTTATATTTCTCTACCGCCACGAATATTCCAAGACTCAATAATAATCATTTATATGTTTCTTCATAGTTTTATTTAACCTTATTTTATTTGCATATACTTTTCTTATTGTTATGCTTAAAGTTTTTATAATAAAAAAAAAATCACAATCATTTTTTAAGAAAATTAATTTTCAATAATTCATCATGTTATTTTTATGTCTAAAAGAACAAAAAAGGATTTACATACATACCACTTTGAGCATGTTATTTTTATATCTAACACTTAAAATTTTAATATTTTATATCTACTATATATATATTATTTTAATATCAAATATGTCATTATAAATTTTAAATTATTCATATCATCTATACTATCTTATAAATTTTAAAATTTAAATTTTACACTCATATTTTATCTATGAGCGGTAGACATGAAATATAAAATTTTAAATGTTAGATATATAAATTATATGATATTTATATGCAAATCCCTTTAAAAAAGTGATAAGTTAAATTTCCATTTTGCCCCCTGAAGTCATTTAAAAAATCGGGAGTTTCAGCTGCTGCTGTGCTCCTCCATTTGGCGGCTTTGGCGGTCCAGCTCCGTCTCTCTCAGTGCGTTTGTCTCGTTGGCGATCGATTCCTTGGTCATAAAGGCGCCAAATGGCGTCGATTGGAGCCATACATGTGCTAATTACGATCGGATGAAATCTAGAGAGAGAGGGGCGGCTGGGAATTGGTCGGCAATCTCAGCACATGATTGCACCCAGTGGCAAGTTTCGGATTTGGCAGCCCTTTTCAAAAGCTAAACCCTAGAAAGAGAAAAGATTGGAACGTCCAATAATTGGAGATGAGAGAAAGGCGACTGATCTGTTTATGTCTTCATTTCCTGTTTAATTTAACTAAAACAAATAAGGAAAAATAATCATTAATTACAGCATCAGTAGCTTTTTTATGATTTGATTTGCTTTATGCTAGATATAGTTAAGATTTCTATATATTTTTAATTTTTTTTCTTACTTTGATGAGACAGGTGGCGTAAATGTGCTTCCTTTCCGCGGAATTAGGTAAAGTGGGAACTAGGGTTTTACTTGCCTTGCCCCGATTTGGTTGGGGACAGAGTCCAGCTGGAAAAAAGCGCAAAAAGTAAGTTCTTTAAGTCAAATTATCCGCTCTTCTCGGCTTTTACCCTTTTTTTGGTCGGCTTTATCCGTTTTAATCCAAAGCACGAATTTTACGTGGGCTATAGTTTTGAGTGATTTGATGTTTTTTTTTTAATTGGAGTTTTTTTTTTTTTTGGCCGGTCTCTGGTGACATTTTTTGTGTTATTTCCCCCCCTCCCCCAAAAAAAAAAGTGTCAGAAATCCATGTGTTCGGTTGCTGGATAAGTAGATATGCTTGATTTCTCTTCAGTTGATTAGAACGTAAATCTGCAGTGCGGGTGAAAGGGACACAGACTACAGTATCGCATCAAGTTTTGCGTATCCATTTCCCAGTTTTCCTCCTCTTGCATTCGTCTCTGTAAGCATCGTTTCAGTGGAATGACGACTCTATAGTAGATTTATTCCTTCTTCTTCCATCGTGATATTGACCTAAGGTAATAAGTATGTTGCTTGTTTCATGATGTGTTTTTTAAAAATCTCTTTTTTCCTGCCCACCGGGATGGTCGATGGCATGTGTTGAAACAGTGAAAAGCTATTGTAGTTGGTAAGTCTTTGTGTGAACTTTGGAGTTCCAGGCTTATTAGATTGTGGTAGGTCAAGCAGATGGGGTAATGAGAAAGATACTGATGTGAAGAATAGGGGACGGAGGGGAAGTCTTTTTATTGAAAGGTATTGGTTAGTTTAGTTGTTAAGAAGGATTAGGTTACTGACTTGTGACTTGTTGCTTGAGTATTTCAAGATTCATATGTGGAATGAATCAATAATGGGATTGTGGGGATAGCCTTGCTGCTTCATCTGAAATGGAAAGGAAAAAGAAAATGGTACTTTGATGTTTCTAAGCTTTGAAGGATGGAGTGTATGAGTTGAAAGGCCTTTTCTTTTGCCTCTTACTGGTTTGTCCTTCTTCCAACCATTTTGTTTGGGGTGTTGGGTACTCGGGCTTGGCTGATTTTAGCATAGAAATTAGAGAAATTAGGTTCTGCTGGCCCTTTTTTTTACGGGCAGCCCTAGATGCATCTACTAGCGACGGTTCATACTGAAGTTTTTGATGATGCTATATAAGGCGTGATTTTTCAAGTAAAAGTTGCTTGATTTCTAATTTTGATAAAGGAGTTCAATGAGCTTTGCGAGTTTTTTTTTACCGCTGGCTCTCTGATTAATGGGCATGATTTTTTTAGTTGTTGTAATGGTTGGAGAAAGTCCGACAGTTTCGATGTGTTTTTGAGTTTGAAGTTTTTCTTTCATTTTGTAAGATCTGTTTTTGTTTTTTTTCTTTTTTAATTGCTCACACAAGTTTATGTTGTTGAATATAATCTGATACTTTTGCATTAGACAGGCAGGGACGGGGGTGCACAAGTTCTTCCTTTTTTAGCATCTGTTGTGGTATGGAGTGGAACTTTAAGAATCCCTTACAGTGGGATTGGGAAAACTTAGGTTTGTTTAGTGGAAAAGAAAGTGAAGTTTCCAAGTCTACAGAGCTATCTGAGTGGAGAGCCGAAGGTGGAGCAATTAGTAATGGCTCCATGTATTCATCTGGCAGTGGCACTTGCTCAGGTTCAGAACTGGGTAATGGTTCGTTGAAGAAAACAGTAACAGCTTCCGTTGGTTTTTTATCAAAGGAAGGAAGTAAGACATCAGAGGTCAACCTCGAAGCAGCCCAAGGAATCATTAAGAACCAATTCAAGAATTATGAAATGGCCCAGGGAGAAGATTTTAGAACTTCCCCTGTGATTGTTAGATGTGTTGGTACTGGAGAGCCACCAATTGGTCTAAAACTTGGCAAGAGAACTTATTTTGAAAATTTAGGTTCTGCAAATATTAAGACTTCTTCAGTTTCTATGACACCACCAGCTGCTTCAGTTAGAAGGTCTAGGGCATCTCATCAGGCCATTCAGCATGCTTACTGCCAGGTCGAGGGCTGCAGTATTGATCTAACGGCTGCAAAAGATTATCATCGCAAGCACAGAGTATGTGAAAGGCATTCTAAAAGTCCTAGGGTAATTGTTGCTGGTCATGAACGTCGTTTTTGTCAGCAATGTAGCCGGTAAATTTTCTATTGAATTTCTTGGTTGATATGTGAATGTTGTCTGTCATGGAACCAGGGATCTTAGTTTGTTATTTGACTGAACTTCTTTATACATTTCTTTTATAGTCTTTTTTTTTTAATTCCATAATGTTATGTTGTCAAATGTATGGAGTCTAAAGGCTTTCATTTGAGTAGATCTAAAATTGAATATATGGAGTGTAATTTTAGTAATGATAGATATAGCGTGGCTTTGGGTGATCAAGTCATTAATAAGAATACATGTTTTCAATATTTTGGGTTTCTTGTTCAGAGTGATGGTGAAATAGATGTGTATATTTTTAGTAGAATTCAAGTTGGATGGTTGAAGTGGAGGAATGCTTCGGGCTTGTTGTGTGATAGAAAAGTACCCCTCAAACTTTAAGAAAATTCTATAAGATGGTGGTTAGACCTTCAATGTTTATGGTGCATAATTTTGGCCATTAAAAGAGAAGCATAATATTAAGTTAAGTGTTGTAGATATGAGGATGCTCAGGTGGATGAGTGGCTTTACTTTTAGAGACAGGATACAAAATGAGCATGCATGTGAAAAGGTTGGAGTAGCTCCAATGTAAGATAAGATTACAGAGAGTCGTCTTAGATGGTTTGGTCACATAAAATGTCGGCCTTCTGACGACCCTGTTAGGATAGTAGATGTATTAGATTTGACTTATGTTAAGAAATATAGAGGTAGACCTAAAAAGACTTGGTTAGAAAATATTAGAAATGACATTTCTTTATTAGATTTAAATGAGAATTTATCTCTTAACTATACAAAATGGAGAAAAATGATTTATGTAGTCGACCTCACATGGTGGGATAGAGGCTTGATGTTGTTGTTGTAATGTTATGTTGCCAAATAATAGAACTTTGTAGGGCAGCAATTGAAACTCAAATAATTAGCTGTTAAAAAAACTTAAGTGTTTGTGAACTCATGAAGATTTCTTGACGAGATATGCTTAATTTTTATGGTATGGGCCAATTTATAGCCTAATTCCTTTTAAAATTTTCTTTCAATGCAAAATTATGACCGAATACCTTTTTATGTTTCAGATTTCATGATTTATGCGAGTTTGATCAGAAGAAACGGAGCTGTCGTAGGCGCTTATCTGACCATAATGCACGGCGACGCAAAGCCCAGCCTGAAACAATCTCCTTCAACCCCTCAACTCTTCCTTCTCTCTTTTATGGTATCAGTTATATTTCTATCATTTTCATGATTTGTTCCAACTTAACAAAACAAAATATGCCTCACCACTCAAGCTGCACATTTATGTTTTTGTAGGACCGGAGAAAAATATTATTTCTCATGTACGTTGTGGCACCATAATATTTTGATATGCATGCTTTGGGGGTGGTATACGTTGTTGTTTTTAGTTTGTATTCTATCCTTTGGTTTTCATGTTCAGAAGAATATCATGAGCATTTGAAGCTACAAACAAAATATAAAGCGGGGTTTTTACTGTTTTAGACAACAGCGTAGTTGTTGGAGTCAACCAGACCAAACCAAACCCAAATTGATATGCAGTACTAGAAGTAAGAGAACTTAGAATCTATCAAACACTGGTTGAAACTCTTTCTACAGGTTTAAAATGTTTACCTGCTGTTATATAGATTTGAGCTCAAAATTGTTATCTGAAGCTGCCAAAAAAACATCCTGTTAAACTCGTAGTTTAGCACGCCTTATTTTGATGTTCTAGGGATCCAAACTCAGGCACAATTTATAAAAGTAATATCTCTCATAAGGACCATGTGAAGATCATAAGTAAAACAAGTATTTCATGTGCCAATTTTCAAATTTAGCTTTAAACATTAATGGTCAGTAGAAAAATCAAAATCAAAATTTAGACTATTAGTGTGACATTCTTGACCACACAGCTTCCATCCAATTATCCTCGAGGATATGATTTATTATTCTGTGCGGAGTCCGGATGTGACCGGAGATCAATAAAAATGCCCCACGTCACCTCAAAAATGTACCGCGCTCGGTACCGAGCGTAACCGAATGATTCTCCCATTTGGTGTCCAGACAAAATAATTTCTCCGAGGATACACACTTTCAAATACATCTCTCGCAAATTTAGCCTTTACAGCGTATATGGCAATGTCAGTCTTTATCTGACAGTTATTCATTTGAGTTAGTCAATTGAAAATCTCTCTTTATTTTTATCTATGATATCCTTTTGCTTTGGGGAAAATAACATTCCTCTCAAAGCACTAGGAGCATCCAGTTGATTACCGGTGCTCTTGTAGGCGACGATAGGTATTTTTTTTTTTAATTCTCAAGAGTTGGAGGCCTTCCCAATAGAAAAAAGTTATAAATTGTAAGAGAGGGTTTTTGAATTGTTGTTATTATAATCTTACAAATGTTGGTCATCGACCATGATTTGATGATCACAGTCATTGTCAGAGTAATATATGCGAATAATGCGGATTGTTAGTGTACTAACATATCTTTTTTCACTTGTCTAACTTCAAATTCAAGTATCTTTAGCCTCCATTACAAATCGTGAAACTTGCTATCCTTGTCATTCTTAATCCAACCATGAAAAGTGTGATGTTTTCCATGGTCGTGGTTGTTTGGATATGATGTTTCCATGCTATATGTATCCTTCTTGGGAGCTATATCCAAAGAAACGTTTTATCTACTCGGATCAGATTTTATATCATCCTTGCAAGTTATTTGATACTTCACACGCTTATTTGATTTTTGAAATCACTTCTGTTTGGCTCTTAGAAATTTTTATGATGTCAAGAAGGATTAAGCTTGGTGTCTGCCTTACTTGAGTATCTTAAACAAATTAATTTTTTGTACTAAGAAGCTGCTTTAAGAAGTAATAAGAAAGCCATCCCAAACGAAACCTAAGTTAGAAGTTAGATTTTTTGCATTGATGACTGGTCATCTTCTTGCTAAAAAAAAGAATTATGTGTCCTGCTGGATTGTAAAGAGAGTTTGAAACTATTCCTAGTGATAGCTTTATATCAAGCATCCATCTATTTGTTGAGTGCAATTGTCTTCTGAAAGGATTAAAACCATTGTTATCTTCTTTATGTGGCATCAGTAATTTGTTTATATTTTCATTTCTCTAAATGTTAAAGTATATGTAAAAACAGCTTATCAAATTGTTTTCACCTAATATTGAACCTTTGATGCCCATGCAGATGAAAGACAACAGATGAGTTTTTTCCTGAATTTAGCTCCATTTAGTCATGTAAGACCTTCTACAAGCTCTATGTTGGATCAATCAGATGGCTTCAGCCTTTCAATGAGAAAAGGATCTTGGCTTAAAACAATAAAAGCGGATGTTGATAGACAGTTACAGTTCCCTGAGATGGATTTCTCTAATAAAATTAAACCTTCTCGTGATGGCCTTAACAGACTTATACCATTCAAGTGTACCACGAATGAGGTCCTTAATCAAGGTAATCTACTAAGGCTTCATTTGGAACAACTTTCTTACTGTTTCTTAAAGCAACTTTCTAGTACATAAATTTTGATTTTTTACTAAAAAGCTACTTTAAGAAACGATAGAAAGCCATTCCAAATGAAGCCTAAATCTCTTATGCAAGGAGTTTTTTGTGATCTTGTGAAACATGATTGATTTGTTTCAATTCAATTGGATTTTGTATATTTTTCTTCCTGAATGTACTAGTCGAATTTTACATTGGTTAGATGCTTTAGAATTTTCATCTCAATTTTATATTACCCAAAAATAAACTTGGAATTCCATAAAATGATGATGAATATCACTGAAGCTGATATTTTTTGTCTGTAAATATATGATGCATTTTGTGGATTACATGATACTGTGCGTTATTCATATAAAATATGTTTGTTTTGTTTGATGTGAATTGTACTAATCAATAGAGTATTAGTACTAAATAAATATCAAATTGAACAGTATTTCATCATAATAAGTTTTGGAAACGATTGAGAGAATTCAATAAACCAATGTCATTAAAGGGAATTTATATTAGCTTGCATAATTGAATTACATCCAGTTCTTAAAACCTTTGCATTGCTTCTTCCTGACCTGCAAAACACCATAAAAAATAGAAAAAGTATGTTGTAATGAAGATTTAAGATTCTGATAATTGTTTCAGGTGAGGAAGCTTATGTGCCTACTTCAAACTTGAATGGAGCACCGGACCTTCGGCGTGCTCTCTCTCTTCTGTCAAGTGATGCCTGGTGTCCATCGAGCACAGAGCAAAGCAGTATGATCCAGTTAGCCATTACCAATCCCATCACCACATCTAATCTCCGAGTTCCGACGGCGAATTTAGCACCTGAATGCTGGCAGAATGATAATTCTCTGGCAGAACAAGCACTACCTTTCAACTTGCATGGCAATGGAAGCCACATTCAGGACTTGCAACTTAGCAAAGCTCCATATGAGAGCTCCTTTTTTGAATCCAACCAGGCATTCTCCAAATCAGATGGCCATTTTACTGAGTTCAAGACTTGAAGGTTTGTAAATTCCATGATCTTAAATATGCCATTATATCCTTTTTTTGACATTTTCAGACTAATTGATGTATCAAACTTTGTTGTAGGAATGGATATTTGCATTTTTTGAAATCCTACAACAGATTGCCGTTGCTGCACCATTGAAGATGATGACAATTCTAACATTTTGCTCATGTTTCTGCACTTCCTGAAGCTTATTGGATGGAAAGATATGATTCTGAAGCTTGCCTTTGCCATCTGCAAAACTGATCAGCTTTGGGGTATACAGTCCATCTTATGCTATCTAGTTGTTTTTGTGCTGATATAATATGAAATCTGCTGCAAGTTGAATCTTGTATGTAAAGTCCAACATAATCCCATGCCATCATTATGCAAAACTCAACATGTATGTATGATGTATGATGTAAAACTCAACATGGATGTATGACTAGTGGCAGTTTAATTTTTTTAAGCCCTTGATTAAAATTTGGGACATTTTATTTCTATTTTTATTTTCTCTATGAAAAATATTGAAACGGCGGCCTTCCGATGACCCGGTTAGAAAAATAGAGGTATTAGATTTGACTTATGTTAAAAAAGGTAGAGGTAGACCTAAAAAGACTTGGTTAGAAAATATTAGAAATGATCTTTCTTTATTAAATTTAAACAATAATTCGACTATTAATAGGACACAATGGAGAAAAATGATTCATATAGCCGACCCCACGTAGTGGGACAAAAGCTTGATTTTGTTGTATGAACAATGTTGCTAGTATCTTAGTAATATTTGTCCCATATTGGGGTGTAAACAAATCGAGTTTAGCTTGAGTCATTCCTATCTTGAGTTTAATTAATTAAATGAGTTCGAGCTCGAGTTTATTCCTACCACTTGTTTTTAGCAAATTAGAAAATGATTATAATTCAAATAGTTATTAAAATAAAATTATTAAAAATATGAAAAAAAAAAGAAAATAAATAATCATTTGATATTGAAAGGTTAGATATAATTTTGAAATATTTATGATAGCTTTATATTTGAATTCTTAAATTCTAATAGGTTTTTAGTACATTTTATTAATATTTTTTAAACAACTTACTTAGCTCTTAAGTTAATGAGTCGAGTTGAGGTTGGTACAAGTTTGACTCGTCAGTTAACTTTTATTTCTTATTTGCCTAAATTAAATTTTAATTATTATTTTATTATTGCAATTTTTTTTATTCATGATGAACAATTTGGCATTTATAAGCTAAATATTTTGATATTTATAAGCTGCAAATAACCAAACCAAAAAAACAAAAGAAAAAAAAATTTCTTTGTGATGGTCACTGTCAGGTAATAGCTGGCAGAGAACAGATGCATGGTTGCATTCACACATCATGCAATAATTGAAACACGTGTTGAAATCTGTTTCTTAATGCATTTGAATGATGTTAGAAGAAAAGGACATTTATGATTTGAATAAACATGTTAGTTTGCAAGTTTGCTTCAGCCAAAAGCACCCTAAGGTTTCATAGAAATTACTATGTGGCTCTAAAAACTTTGAAAAATAATGCGAAATGAGTATATACGTGAAAATGTTGGAGCATTTCAGTGGTAGATAAGGTTAGAGAGATACGTATTGGATGGTTTGGTTGCATAAAGCGTCGGCCTTTCGATGACATAGTTAGGAGAGTAGATTTATTAGATCTGAATTATGTTAAGGAAGGTTGAGGTAGATTTGAAAAGATATGGTTAGAAAGTATTAGAAATGATATTTGTTTATTAGATTTAGATGAGAATTTGATTCGTATGATTCATGTATCTGACTCCACATAGTGAGATGAATGATTAATATTATTGATGTTGTTATTCATACTGCAAAATAATTGATAGATGCTACAAAATTTTTCAATAAAGTCTCTATCCACATATGATAGAACATGCATTCAGATCTAAAAGTTTTAATTTGGGCTAATTTACTTTTACCTTTTTGTTGAAAAGGTTGGAGTAGCTCCAGTAGAAGATAAGATTAGAGAGAGTCTCCTTAGATGGTTTGGTCACATAAAACGGCGGCCTTCGAATGACCCGGTTAGGAGAGTAGAGGTATTAGATTTGACTTATGTTAAGAAAGGTAGAGGCAGACCTAAAAAGACTTGGTTAGAAAATATTAGAAATGACCTTTCTTTATTAGATTCAAACGAGAATTTGACCTTTAATAAGACACAATGGAGAAAAATGATTAATGTAGCCGACCCCACGTAATGGGATAAAGGCTTGATGTTGTTGCTGAAAAGGTTGTGGATGTTATAGGTGGTGAAAATTGAATTAAATATGGTGGATATGATTTGAGTTGTTTGAAAGGTGGGGTGAGATCCATATGAATTTGAAGCTTAAAAAAAAAAAAAAAAAAAAAAAAAAAAAAAAAAAAAAAAAAAAAAAAAAAAAAAAAAAAAAATTCTGTTCATAAATAGCTCATGTTCGACTTGAAAAAAAAAAAAGCTCGTGTTCAACTCGTTTGTTAAGCGAGTCAAATACAAACATATATTACTCGAAAGCTATTTTGGCCAATTGGCTTCCCTTTGGTTTGTAAGCTTATGGATGAAGGTTTGGGAGGCCAATGAAATAGCTAGAGGATGTAAGAAAAAGAGGAGATCTAATAATGACAAGAAAGATAAAATAAATTTACATAAAAATATATTAAAAAATCAAATCTGAAAATAATTTTAAAATCCTATAAGCAAAACTCACTTTGTAAGAAAGTGTTCTAAAAGCAAAAATTTGCTTTCATTTACTTCCAACCTACTAAACACATTACCTCAATTCAATCACTTACCAATTCTCACATAAGAACCAATATGGTTTATAAGGAGGCTACACATCTAATTTGTCCTACAATGCTTGAATTGTCATCAATCATTATCATATTAATTAAAACAGCAATATATCACTAAAAATTATCAGCATATTTATAAAAGCTTTAAGCTTATTAACAATAATTAAATTCTTATTAATTAAATCATTAACAAAGCAATAAATATTATTAAATTAAATTTCATAACATTAAAAAAAACTATTTCTTAAGACAAAATAACAATAGCATCCAAGTCCTCAACACCATATCCTTACAAATTAAGTCTCTATTCCCTCGTATTCTCTTCCACAATGCCAATAGCATCCAAGCCCCAGACATCATAACCTTACCATGCCAACCATGATTACCCTAACCCTCACCACACCAACCATCATCATCATCACACAGACTGTCCACCACCCTAGCCAATCGTCACCGCAACCTCTTCTAGCAGCAAACTAAAGTTTCGGTTGAGACAATTTTCTTAGTACTTTATGAAGCAACTTTTTATTACAAAAATTTTGAAAGTTGCTTCAAGAAGCAGCAAGAAAGTTATCCCAAACGAAACCTAAAGCTTCATTTGAGATAATTTTCTTACTACTTTCTAGAACAATTTTCTAAAACAAAAATTTGTTGAATGGGCAAAAAATAGTGACAAAAATTTCTTAAAACTGCAACCATCTCAAATCGGATCGAAGAGAAAAATAACATTAAAGAGGCAATGCTAAGAAAAAGTGAGTTTCATTGAAAAATAGGATTAAAAAAAAAAAAAAAGAGTTGGCTTATGATTTACATTATAGGTTGCATGATTACAATTTTTGATGAGGTTCAAATTCTGCTCATTATATAAACAAGTTTGAAAAGATAAATTAAACTCAAGCTAATTATCAAATCCAACATAATCAAATATGAAAAACAAATTCTCTTAACATTACTAATAACAATCATGCTACCTATTTTCATAGCCATGATAGACCAACAAAACAAGACACATAAAAGCACTGCAATGCCACTTTAGAGTGGCTTGCCATTAATGACTACTGTACCATACTACCATCACTTGGGTCACACCATCATTCCCAAATTTAGGTCAAGATTTAGAACAATTATTAGGAGCGGAGTGCACACCGTCCGCACAAATACTGAATACTTAACGGTACCCAGCAGTACTGAATGTGAGTACTGCTAAGTACCCAATACTTGTGCGGACAATTCTCCCCGTCCGTACTCCGCACCTAATAAATAATAATCTCTCCAAGATTTAGGCTTTATTTGGGACGGATTTCTTACTGCTTCTCAAACAAAATTTCTAGTAATAAAACTTTAATTTTTATACTAAAAAACTGCTAGTTTTAACAAGCAGTAAAAAAAACCATCCAAAACGAGGCCTTTATCTAGCCATGCACAAAACCAAAAGAGAATATGCAGGATCTTTCTTGTTGAGCTAGAAAAAAACTATCTTTGACAAACAATCAATACCAGTAAATGAAAGTTTCAATAAGAGGCAAACTAAAATTGATAAAAAGAAAAAAAGTTGCATGTTTCAGTAAAAGGGGGGAAAAAAAAACTAGCAATGGGATTTGATACAGTGAGAGAACATGAAACTAAGAGCAAAAGGAACCTAACTACTAAGCAAACTGCAATACACATACAGCATACAGAACTCATAAGAATGCGCAAAAACCACCATTTTGATTTCGTCACTAACATTTTTCAATTTTGTGCTCCCTATTTTCCTTCTTTCTGAACAGCAAGTCATATTTCATGGGTTCAGGCTTCGTTTGGGACGGCTTTCTTACTGCTCTAAAAACAGCTTTTTAGTATCAAAATTTTAATTTTTTTATTAAAAATCTGCTTTAAAAAACAGTAAGAAAGCCGTCCCAAATGAAGCCTCAGTCTATGGTCATGGGTTGGGACATGCAGCATCTAAACCGTGCGCGACGAACCGAGGTGGCCAACTCTTCCTGCACGCTCTCGAGCATTTTGACGATTTCGCTAAATGGAGGGCGAACATCAGGGTTTGCGTCCCAGCAGTGGGTCATGATCTCCCCAAGCGCAGGAGGACACTCATTTGGAATGACGGGTCGAACGCCCTTATTGACGACTGCGAAAGCTGCCTGCACGGCTGTCATGTTCTGGAATGGAAGCATTCCTGTTATGAGTTCCCAAAGCACAATGCCGAAGCTATAGACATCAACCTTCTGAGTATATGGCCTGTGTTGGATCATCTCTCTGCATTTTAAGAAGAATGGATTCATATTGATCACGTCAAGAGGTGAAATTCTAGTAAAGAAACAAAAAAAAAAAAAGCAAAGATTGATGCTTTTAGCCATAGTATCAGTTACAGAAGCAACAGGTAGAAAATCAGGTCCAAAAATTAGTCTTTAATTTGATATGGGCATAGTAATGGCATTCTGGGTGAAATGTGAAAATGATTTAAGATTTGTTCCTAGAAGAGGGGGTTTGAAAAGAGACCCAAATTCAACATTTACTATTGTCAGCTTTAGCACACTTTTTGGGTCCGGCTAAACGAATATTCTTATTTTTCATTCATTCCTCCAGAATGTTGCAGGTGAGCAAACTAGCATAAATAAAGTTCTTTTCCAAGCACGAACAGATCATAGGTTTGTGTTACGAGAAATTATTAGGTGCGGAGACCGGACGTAGAGGTACTTCCAGAATCCAATAAAATGCTGAAACAGAGTGGACACATTGGATTTATTTTTTGTTTTATATATTTAATGTGCCGCGGAACTTTAAGCCAAGCGCAATCAAATCGCAAGTAAAGCGTAGTAAAAAAATGCAACAAAAGAACAGTCAAAGCGCAACTAAAGTGCAAGTAAAACGCAGATAAAGTGTAGGTAAAGCGCACAAAAAAGCGCAACCAAAGGCACTCCATGTGTCATTTTTTAAGTGGATGTCTGGACGTATGTCTACGTCCAGTCTCCGCACCAAATAATTTGCCTTGTGTTACAGAGATGACTTACCAAACCCTCAAAAATAAATATAAGATGTCTAAAATTTTTATATTAGTGGCTTTCTGTATACCTCATCAAACTTAAAACTTAAACTAGTAAGTTGTGGGACTAGACTCGCATTCCAATAACATAATCTACACGAACTGTAAGGTCTGCACTTTGTTTAATAAGAAAGTCACCAGTTTCAACCAAAAAAGGAGAGCATTATTCACGTATTGTATAGCTTAGCAACTCTACACAAATCTTGATCCCCCGTCATCTAAATCAAGTCTTAGGACCTCTTCTCCAAGTTAACTTATGCAGTCGTAATTCATATTGTAAGAGACAGATTGTTAAGAAATCCAACTTACGCTGTTCGTCATCAGGGTAACCAAAGATTAGCATAAGAGTTTAAGCATATATATATATATATATATATATATATATATATAGATAAATTACAAAGTAACTGATGACCAATAAAAGCTTACTGCTTAAAAAAGAGAGATAATAACAGTAAATAGTTAAGTAATCGTATAAGAAAAATTTAGTTTTAAGGAAATATTTTTCATCCGATGCAGACTTTATTTTAACAAACACAAATCGTGTGCAGAGATCCTCTCCTAATATTCTAGTTTTGCTGCCAGCTTCATTATGTGCATCATAATTTATTTTGTAAACTTAATTGAATGGTCGAGTGATTCACTGTGACTGTATAGTTAGCAACAAATACTAATTAGCAAAATGATCCAAAAAATTCTACATCAGCAGTCATTTTAGGCATCTCCTTAAAGTTGAACCTTGAAGGGTCAAATAAAATAATCATCAATATTAAGCTTCCTTGAAAGAAATGATCTCAAAAGTTTACTGTAGTAAATATAAGATTCTTACAGATATATTTGTTGCAAACAACTTCAGGGAAGCTATAAAAGCTCTATTTTTCAAGTTTGTCATCGCCAACATGGTTATAGAACCTATTTTTGAAGCAATGCTTTTCTATGAAGGGTAACTAAAAGAAAACCACATTAATTCAAAGATCATTAATGCAAACTTGAGAACCTAATATGCCATAAATGCTTTTTGGAAACTAGTTCTCTAAAGTGGGCCACAAACAAATTCCAATGTTCAAAAAACGAGTTGTACCAAACAGCTCCAACATGGACTCTAAATAGAAGCATGGGTACTTCTAGTCCAATAGTGCATAAAAGTTTAATATTTTGGATAGAACTATTGCGCAACCAACCACTAATCTACAATGTAAGAACCGGTTTAGTCTAATCTCTAATTAAATTGCGAACGCAACAGAGACAGGCAAAACAGGGAGCAAGGCGCGACCCAGGCAAAGCCACCCGCATGCATACGCGATCCAAAAGAGTCGGTTTACGATTCTGAGCGAAGGATCGCATACGTTGGAGTAAATTAACTCTCCTCATGAGAGAAGGTCCATTCCATTCGTTCCTGGAGAAGAAAAACAAGAGAGAGAGAGAGAGAGAGAGAGAGAGAGAGAGAGAGAGAGAGAGAGAGAAGGTTCATTGATATTTTTTTCCATTTTTGAATAAATCCTTCTGTATTACTTCATCTAAACAGTGAGGGATGTTTAATTAAAGACAAATGAAGAGATTGAAGGTGGAAAGGAAGAAATTGAAGGAAATGGAGGAAGTTTTTGAAAAGGAAGAAAAAGAGAGCATTCATTTTCTACAACGAGAAAGAAGTAAGATATTTAGTTTAAACTTCTAATGAATTCATATAAGTAGATGCAAAATTATGGATTTATGTCACATGAATGAATCCAATTAATGGGTGATGAGCCTCGATTCAAGTGAAAGAGAGGGATTTGAGGTAAATGATTGAAGTATTTATTGTGACATTGAATTTGTAGACTGTTCATCAATAATTAATAAAATTAGAAGTATTTTGGAATAGTGGAGAATTGGTTAACTTAATATAGAAAAGTGACAACTAAAGCAAATAGAAGATCTCAAAAAGGAGAATGGAGGTAAGAATTTTTAAAGTAATATTTATATGAGAATATTGAAAGTTGAAAGATGGTAATAATTATATGGTGTATGTGAATTTAGATTGTAGTAAGGAAGATTGTCTCAAGAGTTGAAGATTTGAAAGGAGCTGAAGCCAAAACATTCAAATTGGGTACTTATAATTATGGATAATTTTTATCATTGTATTTTCACTTTCATTCTGGAAGGAATATTTTATATGATTGTTTTACTTATTTTTAAGACTGTTATGAGTAATGCAAAGTATATGAATATGTGAAAGATATATATATAGTTAAAACATATGTAAATAAAATAGGAAGTGAAGTTGAAAAGTATCGTATATACATATAAAATACAAAGAATGAGAAAAGAAATGATGTAACTTATAAATTATCGATAAAATCATAAATGAATGAAAGAGAATAAATGAAAAAGGAAAAATGATATGCATTTAAATTACAGGAGTTCACCCCTGTATGGTACTAGCTGGGGAAGCAACGTACCAGTGCACGTTAAATAGAAATGAAAAAGAAAAAGAAAATGAAAATAAAAATGGTTGTACCTTCAATACATTTAGACGATGCTTCTGTACTAATTAAATTGAAAAATAAATAAATGTTGAAATATATATGAAAGGTATAAAGAAAGGATCGAATGAAATGGAAGAATATATGCATATGAATATACATATATCAAATATTATATATGTTTTACTATTGCATAAAAAATGAGAAGAAGATCATGCATTGTATTTTTATACATGTTTAAATATTATATATAGAAAAATTATTCACTGAGTTTACCATGTAAACTCAACATATTAAATTAAACTTTCAGGTAAGTCTCCACTCTCCAGAGAAATAAAAATGGCTGAAAGAGAAGAGGAATACATCTACAGAATAAGGCGCACAAATGCAAGTATGTAATTTATGATTATGCAAATGTTAAGTATTTGTGAAGATTTTATTAGTTTTTGATGAAAAATTTTTATTAGTAGTTCTTCAGTGTTTGTGGATTGTTAGAAATTATTGCTATAAGTAAGAGTAGTAATTGTCTTAACCGTCCGACTATCAGTTCCCGCCTCGTTAGTTTGAGTATCCGGGTTGGGTCGTGACATACAAAGTGAGAAGCGGCCCAGTTCTATCATATTTTGTTGGTCAGTAGGATTTCCTTTTATAGATGCTGCAAGTCAATGACATTAAGAATGGCAGGTTTATGCATTAGTGAAAAATCCTATCACATTGTCAGGCCATAGCTGTTTCTCATTTTTCCTATCATGATATGTCTTCTTTAAATCTTGTTCCAACTTCTATAACATTTACTCGCTATTAAAGCCACAAATAGTAAACCTACAGCTCTCCTCAATTTCTACTTCTCTGTTTCTTCCTCCCACCTTTAAGCTACTTAAATGCATCGGCAAGATTAGTGATCTTATTAGCATTAAATTAACTTGACATCTAACTTTCACAATTCTGACATCACAAGAGCTAGAAGATTCTAACAAGAGCCCCTCCTCATTTCACTTTGGCATAATCTTCCTATTAATCAGTTCGGTCGCACCACAAGCTGCATGTACAACAACAACAACAACATCAAGCCTTTGCCCCACACTCCCACTACATGGGGTCGGCTACATGAATCCTTTTTCGTCATTTGTGTCCTATTAAAAGCCAAATTCTCATTTAAATCTAATAAAGAAAGATCATTTCTAATATTTTCTAACCAAGTATTTTTAGGTCTACATCTACCTTTCTTAACATAGGTCAAATCTAATACCTCAACTTTCCTAACAGGGTCATCGAAAGACCTCCGTTTAATATGGCCAAACCATCTAAGGCGACTCTCTCTAATCTTATCTTCCACTGGAGCTACTCCAACCTTATCACATATATGCTCATTTCGTATCCTATCTCTAAGGGTAAAGCCACTCATCCACCTAAGCATCCTCATCTCTGCAACACTTAACTTAGTATTATGCTTCTCTTTTAATGACCAACATTCGGCATCATAAATCATTGCAGGTCTCACCCCCATCTTATAGAATTTTCCCTTAAGTTTGAGGGGGATTTTTCTATCGCACAACAAGCCCGAAGCATTCCTCCACTTCAACCATCCAACTTGAATTCTGCTGAACACAAAGACTCGAACCCTAGACCAGTTGGAAGCCTAAGCTCTCAACCAACAGGCCAAGGTGAGCTGTGTATGAACCACAAACTGCCTATGCGATAAAAAATTTCTCAACTTACCCGAGGCTCAGTCAAACAGTAAAACTGTGGCC